AATTCCGTGGTCAGCTGTCGGCCACCAGAAGCTGCAAGAGGCATGGGACAGACTGGTGTACAAGCACACATTGCTTTATTGTGCCTCACTTGTTTGCGCTTCACAAATGTTGCAGTTTTTACAAATGGAAGGCAAGACCCTTCAGCAGCAAAGCGACTGCAGGTCCCTTTACCGTGGCATTCTGGAGCCACACGCGGTGTCGCTGAGGTGTGCCTGCCTCATCCGCTCGGGCTGCCGTAACGAAGGACCACGGACCAGGTGACTTACCAACAGAAAGCTACTTAGTTCTGGAGGCTGGAAGTCCCAGATCAAGGCACCAGCAGGGTTGCCTCTTTCTGAGGCCTCTCTCCTTGTCTCGTAGACGGCAGTCTCCTCCCTGGGTCCCCACATGGTTGTCCCTCTGTGTGTCTCTGTCCTAATCTCCTCTTCTTAAAAGGACCCCAGTCGGATTGGATTAGGACCACTGGCATGGCCTTCTTTTAACTTAATCACCTCTTGAAAGGCCCTGTCTCCGTGTTCTGAGGTGCTGGGGGTAAGGGCTTCAACATATAAATTTTGAGGACACAGTTCAGCTCACAGCACCTTGATTTCAGATGTCCAGCCTCCGGAACGGGGAGAGAATAGGTTTCTGTTGTTTGATGCCCCCGTTTGCAGTATTTGTTTCAGTGGCTATAGGAAACACATACGCTTTCCCCATGTCCGTTTTGGTAGCTTCATCTGTCACAGTCCCATCCCTCCAACAGGACTTCCTTCAAACCAGATCCTACCGCCAACCACTTCTGGTCTTCACCGCCCCACAGCGGAGCCCTCCCGTTCCACTGTCCCCTCTCCCTGCCCCAGAGTGTCCTCGGAGCCACACCAGGACCATGTCCCCCTCTGCCCAAACCCTTGATCATCTCGGAGCTCAGAGTCCTGCCAGTGGCCCCAAAGCCTGCCTGGCCTGACCCTTTGACCTTGACCTCCTTCCCCATTGCTCATCAGTTTGGCTCCGTCTTCCTCAGGGCTTTGCTCTGGCTGTTCCCCCTGCTGGATGCTCTTCCCTACACATGCATGGGGCTCCCTCCTCGCCTTCTTCAGGTCTGCTCAAATGTTACCTTCTCAGTGAGGCTGACCCCGGCATTCCCGCCTCCCATACCCTACACCCCCCCAAAAGCACTGATCACCTTCTAACATACAATTACTTTTACTAATTTATTTATTTCATCTGTCTCCCTCCATAAAATAAAAACTCCAAGAAGAAGGGTCTTTGCCTACTGTGTTCACTATTTCTAGTTTCAGCACCTGGAACAATGCCTGGCACATAGTAGGTGCTCAGTGAATATCATCAAGGAAAGGGGGGTGAAAAATGCCCTCCCCCCAAGAAAAACTCATGTCCTCCCAATGTCTAGAATTTAAGAGAGGAAAGAGAAGTTGCTATGACTTGGCCATTGGTAGAAGTCACATGTGTTTTCATATTACATTCTAACTGCTGGGATCTCTCATAATATCTGTGCTTTAAAAACCACAGTTGCTATTGACCTGCCCCTGGATCTTATTTCACCAGACAGATACATTATAATCGCTGCTTTGATATCCATATTTGAGTATCATTGGTTTCCTTTGTAATCCTGTTATTTAATATTATGCTTTTTAAAACATTATTCTGAGGGCTTGATTCGATTAGAGAGATGCTCATGGTGCCCAGAAGGCTACCAGGCCCCTGTAGCTGTTCCCTAGAGAGGCCCACAGGGACACAGGGGTGACTGGGGGCTCTGCTTTCTTCCAGCCATAGGAAAGGACCCTTCTGGGGCTCTACAGGCTGCTGGTCTGGGCGTCTGACCCAGGAGACCAGGCACCAGCCCCCCACAGGCTGCCTGGCTGCAGCACCCAGTGTGACCAGCAGGTGGCAGCCTTGCGTGGCCTTGCTTCCCGCAGACTCTTATCAGAGGCAGTCGGAGGGCCCGGCAGGGGGACAGGGGGACATGGGTGGCAAGCATGTCAGGCACACTTCAGTCATGAGAGTCATGTGCTGAGTCAGTATTTTGGAGACTGTGGTCAGCAAACACCGCTCGGTTCAGTGGCCTTGCCAGGGGGGATGTGGGCTTTGCTTTCCATTTCCTTCTCCCAAAAGCCCCAGCATGCTTCCAGAAATGGGCAGTAGGGGGCGCTATAAGCTCTTCTGAGAGGAAACCAGCAGCAGAACAAAGCCTGGAGGGCCAGGCCTCCCTTCCAGACTCAGTTGCTCCCACTCTGGCTGTAGTTTCTGATCA